TTCACCTGGAGCTCGACCCCCGCGTTGGGCAGCGAGCACCCGCCCACCCACCCAAAAAGCGGAATGATTTGCCCCGGCCTGTCTCACTTCCAAGGACTTTGCTCGTCCTCCTCCTTCCCTTCCCCTCGGGCCTGGGGAGAGCCCAGCTCAGCCCAGGAAAGGAGCCGCCTGTATTTGCATCCCTGGCCGCCCCTGCCGTTTGCTCACGGCTCTGTTTAGATTCAGCTTTCCTGTTTTGCTCATCTGCTGGCTGGAAGAAATAGACTCTTTCACACCTCCTGCCTGAATTTCGGTATTGTCACCTGGCAGCAAAGCAGCGCGAGATAACATCTGCCACCCTTTCTGTGGTGGTTTCCCCAGCAGCCGCTGCCTGCTGGCAAACACCGAGCCGTGCCGCTGCCCGGGGACGCGGCTGGCAGCAGAGCCCCGCGCCGCCAACCGCGACATGTCACCCACCGCGGGCCACGCTGGTGGACACGAGGCTGGTGCCTGAGGACAGACGCAGCCTTTAGGCTCCCAAACGACAAAGAATGGCAAGTGGCAAGCAGGGAGTCCTGGCCGTGTCCAGCAAAAGTGCCCAAGCTGCAGCCCCACACCGCAGCGGCTCCGCTCGCCGCCTGCCCTGGGTGCCTTCCCCTGTCCTGGTCCCAAGCCCATTGCCGGGATCTCGGGGGCAGCGGGGAGCGGAGCAGCCTGCCAGGGGCCGTGGGGCTCAGGCATAGCCACGGGGGCAAGAGAGACTCACCGTGTGTCCACCGGGCGAGGAGCAGTGCCACGCAGAGTGCCAGGGCTGTGGCGGAGGGGGCCATGCCGGCTCAGCATCCTCCACAGGCGCGGGGCTGGGCGAGCAGGGTGCTGAGCTCTGCTCTGCGGGGCTGCAGAACACTTGTTTTTCCCCCGGAGGTTGGCTCAGTGACGTCTCGGAGGCGTTAGCGCAGTGGGAGGAAAGTAGTGGTGTAGCAGCTTCCACTTTTCATCGGTGTCCACCCACTCATCCACAGCTAATCTCTCAGCCCAGGCTGGGCATTTCCTGCAAACAGCCTTAAAGTTTTGGGGACTTTTCTGAACAAAACGGTACATGGCTGACAAAGGGACAATAGGAGTAAATCATGCGGCTGCCTTTGCTGCCTCGTTATTAGATGAGATGTTAAAAGCCCAGCACAGGACCCATCACAGGGATTCTACTGAGCATGGCACCCCCCAGCAGCGTCCCCGTGGGGCGGTGTCCTGTCCTGCCCCTGGCTAAAGCCAATCCAGCTCACAGCCAGCCCTGGGGAGCCCTGGACCCCCAGGAGGGGGTTCTTGCTTTCCCTTCCCTTGGTCTCAGCCTGTACACTTTTGCTTCACTCTGCCATTTGCCTTTCCCCATTTCTGGGGCGGAGTGAACAACCTCTGGGCTATTGCGTGTCCCGCAAACACCTACAGACGTGGGTGACGTGGCGGGCTCTGGCGCTGGGAGCGGCGGAGGGGGCTCTGAGCCGCCCCTGGGGCCCCGGGTCTCAGCCAGACCCGGCCCCGCTACAGCCGCCACGCAGGGGGCTGCAGGGCTCTGGCCCCACGGCGATGTCCTGCCCGCTGGTGATGCTGGCCCTGGCTGCCAGGACCTGAATTACCACCGAGCTGGCTGCCAGTGGCCTGACTTGCCTTCTGGCAGGATGAATTACAACAGAGCTTGCTTGAGGGCTTTCCTGAGGCCTGTGCAAATGCAGGGTCCCTCGTGATAGAGAGCAATTTGTCTCAAGAAGAGGAATTTCCCACTGGGGAATTAGCGGAAAGGACAGAGCTAAAAAGGGCAAGAGAAACCGAGAGTGCTCTGGACATCTTAGAAAGCTTCAGAGCAGTCCCTGGATGATGGCAGTCCCTGGCCCCTTTGCCGCAGCAGAGTGGCTCCTCAAAGAGCCATCTTAAATGCCTGAAGTGGGAGATTTCTGCTTTTTTCCCTTGACTTTTAACAGAGCCCCCCTGACTCATCCTTCCTGCAAGCCCACAGCCTTCCACCAACTCTCAGCCTTGCCGGAGCACCAGCAGCTTCATCAGCTGCAGGGTGGTCCAGCGGCGCCGCTGAGTCCGTCAGCGGGACCCTGGCACGGTGGCACGCCGGGCTCTCGTGGCACCCGGGGACACGCAGGCTTCAGCTCTGCTCCGCCTGGGCACAGCGGGGTGGTGCCGGGTGCCTGGCGGCAGGGAGAGGCTCTTCCTCGCCGACGGCCGTGCCTCTGCCGAGGGCCAGCCATGGGGACGGGCAGGGGAGGAGGGCTCCAGCAGCAGACCCTCGCCCTGGCTTCACCCTGGCTTGGCTGTATTCTCTCCAGTTTGGGAGACCAGCTGATGTCCTGTCACTCTGCTCTCCGCTTGTGAGTCAGATCTGGCAGCCACTGAATTTAGGAGTCCTGAGATGAAGCACAGCCCAACCCACGCAAAGCCACAGCTCGTGTTTCGTGTAAAAGAGAGAAAATCAAAAGCAATGGGACCAAAAATGGGGAAGGAGGGAGCCTCGTGGAAAAGACACCCCGGGGCTGGTCCTGTAGGTGAGGCGGTTCAGAGGCTTGGGAGAAATGTTCGGCGATTTAGGGGAAAGTGAAACAGGCGAGGGAGAAGTGCCAGTTCTGCTGAACGCTCAGATCGCGAGCGGCACAGCCACCCTGCGGTGCTCGTGCTGGCACCCGAGCTGCTGCACGGGCACGGGCGCTGCCGGTGCCGCAGGAGGGGCTGGGGCCAGGACAGCGTGTGGTGGTGTCCCCGCATGGACAGGTGCTGCCCGGGACCCCCCGTCTTGTCAGCGCTTTCCCCTCATCCCCCGTGAAAAGCCACTTGGCATCGCTGAGGCTGCAGAATTCATGTCTCCGGGCTACCTTTGCTGCCACCAGCTGTTGTGAGGGGCACCACAGCCCCCCCAGAACATAGCCCTGTCCTGCAGCCACCCACTGTGCTGGAGCCCCCCCGCCCTGAAGCCCCGGCACAGGCGGGGAACCCGGCGATAACCACGGACGAGCTTTGCGTCAGGCGGCGCTGACCACCCAAAGCACCGTGCGGCAGCCAAAGCCTCACAGCCCCACGTTTTCAGTGTCGGCAGGAGAGGTGTTGAGTTCAACAGGTCAAAGCAGCCCTTGAGAACGCTGCCAAGTTTCCTTTTCATTTTCACAATAACTGACTAATCTTCGAATAGGAACAGCCATGTTCTTAATAACCTGTAAATCACCTCAGTCAGAACCGCACAGCAGGTCTTTGCCCAGAGCCTCTGCCCTGGCCCTGGCCCCGCACCCGGCTGCCCCCGGGACCCTCCTGCCAGCCGCCAGCCCCGGGCACCTGCTCAGCGAAGGGGCTGCCCTTGTCCGTGGGGCACATCCTCGGCTCCGTCCTCCCCCCTCCCAGCTCCTGCCACCTCGCACGGTGCCCGCATGCTCAGCCGGGGCTTTGGCACGGGCAAGGCTGGAGTGGGACTGGGGTTCCCAGCGGCCCCCGAGCCCTGCAGGTCACGCGGCCAACGCTGAAATATCCCCTCAGGGACCCCTGTGTCGGCTGGTCAGGGTGACAGCACCACAGAGGACCCTAGCCCGCGGGACACCTGGCAGAGCGGGTCTCTGCTTTTCCCTGCCCTCCACCGCCGCAGACCTCGGGGAGCGCTGCCCAGGGCGCGGGGGGTCGTGCAGCCCTGGAGGGGTTCAGGAGCCGGTGCTGTCCCGTGGTGCCTGGGGCTCGGGCTGGGCTCGGGGGGCTGGTTCTGCACGGGCACAGCCCTGCCATGGGGCAAAGCACCTTGCCTGGAAGAGCAGTTATCCGCTTCCCTTCCCAATTCCCTCATGCCTGGAGGCCGGAGCAGAGAGCAGAGGAGCCGGCGGGCTCTCCCGGGCTGGCTCTGGCTGTGTGAGCTCTTAGCCCCTGGGTTTGCCGCCTGGGAGGAGCCGTTGCCAGCGAGAGTGTGAGGATCTCACCCGGGAGGGGTTGCACACACATGACATTTAACATCAGGTTGCCGGGGTCAAGCCCAGACACACGGTTCTCTGTAACTTGCTTTCTGTAGGTGACTTTGAAGAAACACCAGCGAGCAATCATTCCTGGAGCTACTTTCTCAGAAACCCTTTTCAGAAGAGGATGTGGCAGCTCATGCAGGTGCTCAGCCAAGGCCAGCTCCGGGCTGTCCAGGGATGCTGCTTGCTGCCTGGCCAGCCCCTGCCTCCCTCCACCCCAGGGCAGCGGCACAGGGGAGCTGCAAAAAGCAAACAAAATGCCGTTAGTCCTACGTGTGAAAACTAAAGCAGAGTGTGGCGCAGAGTGAGGGCTGCCTCAGAAACCCCCTGTAAGTGGGGGATCCCCAGAGTGGGTGGCCTGGCTTGTGGCCACGGCTGGGGAAGCACTTGCCCTGAGGTGTACGTGCTGGACCTGCTGCGGCAGCGAGGGCCTGGCTGGGCTCACTGGAGAGGGGCAGGCGAAGGGCTGAACGTGACCCTGCCAGAAGAAAACGGCACCAAGATAGGGATGGACTCAGGTGTCAGTCTTCTCCAAGCTCCCCGATCCCCCTCTCCGGCTGCCCGGATTTGGCCCCAGGCTGTGTGTGGGTGAAGGGCAGGAACTGACCCCCCTGGGAAGAGGGGGGACGGGGAGCCCTGGGGCAGGGCAGAGGGGGCAGCGGGATCCGTCCTGGGGCGGGCAGGAGGGGGCTGTTCCTTGCAGTGATCCCACCGGCCGTGGCTGGGAGCAGCCTGGGTTCCCCAACACCCCGGCAGCCTCTCCGGGAAGCCATCCCACCTCTCTGCTGTGCCATGCAGTGCTGAGAGCGCGGTGCAGCCCCGGACGGAGAGGAGGGGGGGCACAGCCACAGGCTCCCCCCAGCCTCGTTCAGCTGCGCTGAGGCTGGGCAAGCGGGAAATGTGGCACCGAGGGTCATGGGTCTGGGGTCTGGACATCAGAAAGCACACAATGGAGCTGGGCTTTTTCCTTTGAATTTGGATATTTTCAGCTGTTTTTCCCAAATGTGAGTTCTGGGTTAAGCAAAGTATCCCCCAGCTCACGCCCACAGAGGAAGCAGGATTCGCCTTGCACAATGCGAAAGCATCACTCCATTAGCAGAGGGCTGAAAAAGCCTCCAGAGGAACTAGAGGAAAACAGCATTTCATTTCTGTGAAATGGGGGCGTTCTGGACTTCTCGATCACCTGGGGCGCACAGGAGGGGTTTTGCTGGGGTCGGACACGGCTGCGCATCCCCTCCTCTGCCACGCTCAGCTGGCGCTCGCTGCGCTTGGCCGGAGCAGTGTGGGTGAGCGTGTGGTGGGCGCACAGGGGAGAAGGGGCCCCTCGGCAGGTTGGCAGCCGAGAGAACGGTGAGGAGCCCCGTGTGCTGGGGATGCTGCTGCCCCCCGGGCCAGCCCTCACCTCTCCCCAGTTCCCACACCTTGGGCCTCGGCCGAGTGTCCTCCTGCCGCTGCCCCGCGCTCCTCACGCCTGGCTGGGGCGGCCGGCAGCGGAGGCTGATATTTTGCACGCCGTGCCTGGAGCAGTTGGGAAACAGGCAGCAGTGGGGCCGGGCGGCAGGTCGGACTGGTTTCCCTCTGCACCTGGCGCTGGCACTGACGTACGAGCCCGCTCGCCAAACAGATTCTGCCCCGTCCCCGCGGACCTGACCTCGCTCCGCACCGCGCTGCGCAGCCAAGGATGGCTGTGCCGGAGCTGTGATCCCAGCCCAGCCCTGCAGCGGCCGATGGATGGAAAAACCTCTCCGGTAAGGTGCGGGCAGCTCCCCCAGCTCTGACCCGGCTGGGGGCACTGGGGGGGCCTCTGTGGCCCTAGGGACCAGCTTTCCTCAGGGCTTGGC